CACGTATGTTCTGTTAACAAGTGAAAAACTAGATCGAGAATATCGAAATAACTATCTGATCAATCTCATCGTTAGTGATTCTGGTAAGCCAATGTTAACGTCCTATTACAGTTTACAAGTTCATATTCTCGATACGAATGATAATTCCCCACAATTCGAGAAGGAGATTTATTATGTTGATATACAAGAAAATAATTTTATTAATACAACATTAATACAAATATTTGCTAATGATTCGGATTCCGATGAAAATGGACGAATTACATATGAAATAAACAATGACAAACATAATTATGTTTGGATAGACAACCAAACAGGAATTATTCGAACGAATATTCAATTTGATTATGAAGAAATTCGAAACTTTTCTTTCAACGTTACCGCAATCGATCATCCGAACATCGGACAGTCATTAAAAGCCACAGCGATGATCGTTGTCAATATCATTGATCAAAATGATAACATCCCTCAAGTAAGCTTTGTTACCTTTTTCGCCTTCAGCTATGAATATTTTTAGTTTCCCCGATCGTCTTACGAATTTTTAATCAACGAGAATAATCCTCCGAACAGTTACATCGGCCAAGTCACGGCTGTCGACGCTGATGGACCTGATCTTGTCTATACGTTCGATGCTCCATCCGACCGAATCAAATCTGTATTTTCTCTATCGCCATCGGATGGCAAAATCTTCGCATTGACTTCATTCGATCGCGAACAATTCGATCAATACATGTTCTATGTAATCGCATCCGATGGCCATCACGTCTCGTTGCCAATTAAAGTCCATATACAAATCCTTGATTTAAATGACGAAATTCCCCGATTTATCTTCCCGAATGATAACAATGATACGTTAATCATCGATCTTGCTTATTGGAACGTCAACGACTATATTTGTCAAATCGAAGTTCTCGATGAAGATCTCATTCAAACCCATACATTACTATTAATTTATCATTATGATCAACTGAAAAATTACGATTATTTAGAGAATTATAAACACATGCTCCAATTCGATTCTGTAAAGTTCTTTCTGGATCAACAGGGACGATTGTTTTTTAATTCATCGAATGGAACGACTCTAAACGAAGGTGTCTATTATCTAGCGTTCAAAGTATGGCAAATCTCTTTCTTTGTTGTGAAACAAACGATTTTGCGTTGTTTAGATTGTCGATGGTCGTGATTTTTACGACGAGAAACTATTGAAATTAATTGTAGTTAAAGATTATGAACATGTGCAGATGATCATGAGACAATATGATTATCTTGGTTTACATTTGAACAATCGTTTTTCGTATTTACAATATCAAAACTCGAAAAATCGATCCACATCGATTATTGATCAATCCAATCGTTTTCTTCTACTGATTGTTTTTGCCTTATTGATTCTGATCCTTCTTGGAATCACCTTCATTTTCATTTCATTAATTCGACGTAAAACATTGAAAGAGAAGAAACTATTGAAAAAACAAGCTTCCATCTCTTCCAATTCTCAACAACAATCTAACAGTTCGACAATTAATCTTCTAAAACCATCAACCAAAGGAAATTTGCAGGTGACGAACTGCTTCGACTACAACGATTCGTCATTGCTTATATTAAACAAAGATCTGCTCTCAACAACGCCGATTATAAATGATAGTTGTTGCCTGCTCGACACAATCAACGAACATGATATCTATGACTCGCAGAAAAGCAAAGTAAATTTCTTTTCAATGAATCTGACCTGACGAAAAACTATGTTCTTCTTAGTCGTATCCCTCCTGGATCAATCATCCGGAATCGCACTATTCCGAACGCAGTACTGATTCATCAACATTTCATTCGTTTAATCATCTTTCACTCCGGCCACCGTCAACACTTTCCAATGAACTATGTCCTCCAAAACGACAGACACCTACTGAATATTCCGTAGCTGTTGTTTCATCATCATCAAACAACTGTCCACATACACCTGTCAGTTCTGATGATGGATTCTGTGGCTCATCGGATACATCCGATCCTTCGATACCTAATGGTAACAATCATTTACTAACATCCTATCGACAACCGTATATTATGATAAAAGAAGGAATTATGAATAAAAGCTCGTCGTCGACATTAACGAATGGAACAGACACGACAAGACGTGTTCGATTTAATCTTCAATCGGATGATCAAAGGACTATGCTACCGAGTCATTATTCGGAGCGCACTTTAAGACACTTCGAACAGATCTATATGGCACGTGAACATATTCTAGAAAAACAACCGACTAATTCAACAGTCGTCTAGTCGTTTTCGATGATTCTTATCGCATTACAAATCGTGTACAGTGGAAAAACCATAATCTATCTTTTCTTTCTCGTTCTTTATTTTTCTCTTTTTTTCTATAAGTGTCGAATGGTTCAAATGCTGATCATTGTTCTCTTCTTGTGGTCAGACGAAGAAACTTGACTAAGCTTTTCTTTTTTATATTTTTTATTCATACATACATATACATGTGGAAGTTCTACTAAAGAACAATTTTCAATCTGGAAGATATTTACTTACCATTGAATCTGACTATACCGAGAGAAAGATGTTCGACAAACGGCGTATGAATTTCATTTCATTAATCTCACGTGCATGAGTAACGAGTATGTAGACTACTCAAGTAAAACCTATGGGACACATGACCTTGTGATACGAACGATGCATCGACTACTGTGTTATGCTTGTGTATATCTGTATTAGAATATTGAAACAATACAAGACAAAAGAGGTACACTAAAAAAAAAGTCACACAAAAGATTGATTTGAATACAACGAGAGAAAAAAAAACGAGATAGACTGTTCGATAAGTATATGATATGAACTGTACATGTTCACAAAGAGAAGTGTCGAGATACTAAGCAAATTATACAATGTTTTGATTAGATTTAACAATTGGCTGATAAATTATATTATCGTCGATGTAGTCATATACAATTGCGTTTTGCTCATCTTTTGGCGAAGTCTTTCCATTTTCCAATGGATCTTGTGAATAGATATGATCTGAATCGTGATATTGCTTATCTGTGTATTTAGAGATGTATTTTTCATCAGCAGTCGATGATGAGGATACATCGAATTTCAGGTCGCTTCCATCGCTGTTCTCGGTTGAATCGTTCGCTGCAAATTTAAATCGTCTGGGCATGTAAGCATTGAATGTTTCAGTTAAATAACGAATTCGACGATCGTTACGACTAGAAGTTTCGAGAGAAATAGTATTATTAGTTAAATTTGTTAGGTCTTACCGTCGGTAGAGAAGAAAGGCGCATAGGATAATGAAGAGAACACTTGAAAGAAGAACAACGAGTAGAAGCAGAACGGTATTATCTAGAAAATTTTATTCATGAACGGTGAAGAGCATTCTTTTTCACGTACTTGCTGCTCGGTTATCTCCTTTCAATGCTGCTGCTTTCTCTTGTACGATAGTTGCCAAATCTCCAACAAACAGCTGATCTATTTTTGAGGTTGACGGTATCTTTGTTGTAGTTGTTGGTCGAGAACGACGAACGGGTACAACTAAATGATAAGAATCAAGGCAATTGTTTAAATGTGAGCATTACTACTTACTGATAAAGTAAAGGAGAAATCCATCATAAGCTCGTTTTGGATTTGCGGAATTGGATTTGAATTGTAACGATGCTTCAATCACATCGTCGAATAGAAGAGTGAATGGGTCACGTGCTCCGTAGAGTTTCTCTCCGTTGTCATTGATTTCTAACCAGTCATTCAGCTTGATTCCATTGAAAGAACGACCGAACGTGGCACTTTCCACATCGAAATTCACCGCATAGATTTTCAGTCTAGGAAAAACCATCTTTCCGTCTCCAAAGAAAGAAATCTGAGAGAATCCAAACTTACCGATGGCCCGATTCAGGTTCTGGAATCTTCTTTGTACATGAAAGATCATTTGGATAACCAGCAGGATAATTAGGCGTGTGAAGGAAACCTTCTTTTAAATCTTCAGCAGATTGTAAGGAGCAAATGTCAATACGAGGTAATTTACTCGAATAAAAATCTTCCAAAAAGAACAAGTTTTGCTTTCTTTCAGAAAAAGAGTAACCTCTCCATATTCTTACCAGGTACGCATGAATACTCGATATTAATACTTTGTCCTTTGAAATTACAATTGGCTTCTTTGCCAACCATAAATGCTGGACGTTGCTCGAGATCGTTGTTTATTGTGCAAATCTCATTTCCATTACATTGCGTACTAATTCGTTCACGATAATAACCAATACAACGTGTTGGTGGATAGATCGATGTTCCATTTAATTCTTCACTTACACTCGGACATTCCGATGAATAAGTCGCTTCTAAGATCACTAGTTTCCGTGCTGAAGGACACTTCAAAGTCACTGATGTCTCACATGTATAACCTGTTTGCAATGATTCTATACGGGCAAAGGAAAAGTGAACTTTGTACGAATAAGTCAATTGAACTTACGCGTATACGAGAATAGATTGAGAGTAAGCGCAAAGAGAAAAGTTGCCGAAATCATTTTGATCTAGAACGAAGAATAGAGTTAGTTGTTCTCGTCTTCACAGACAAGAGTTCCTTTAATATCAAAGGTAATTTATCTTATTCCTCTCGATAAAAACGAGTGAAAAGATAAAAGGTTAAAGAGAAATTCCGCGTTGATTACCCGCAGTACTCATGCGGTCAAGATCATTCGAAAGTAAAGAAAAACGAGAACATTCTTTCGGTTTCTTATGTGACTAATAATAGACCAACAAGGTCATTATTATCGACACAAGAAGAGATTTATAGAATATTTAAACGTGACAAAATCAAAACTTTGATGTTTACGTACATACATACATACATATACTTCTTTTCCTGACAAAAATCAGTCAAGTACGAATAAAATTCACACAAATAGACAACAACATGACCAGACAAAAAAGAAACAAAACCATTACTGATAAAAGCAAAAACTATTTTATACAAAAAAAAGAAAACGAAGAAAAATACAATTTTAACTGTCGTCTTATGAACAATAGTGCAAAATATCTGTAAGAATACGTCCAACATTTCGATCGATGATGTTCGATATTGACAAATTCAATATTCGATCTTCATACTTTTTCATCAGTTTGGTATTTTCTGATTGATGTGCAATCAATAATAAACAGTTAGCTGCACGCTTCAACATATCATTCGTTGTGAATAGAAACTGTTCAGCTTGTTGAGTGTTCGATATGCGTAGGACATAATCGGAACCGTAACGTGTGGTTAGCTCATTAGTTTTCTTTTCGTAATCTTCTAAGAAATTGATTAACAAGGAAACCGTATAAGGAATATGTGTAATGATATTTGTGGCATTTGAATCACATCTCAACAAAGCATTCAAGAGAACGATGGCGAATTCACGTTGAGTATATGTTTGAGATCGATTAATATTGGAATATTGAGTGTTCATTTCGTCAACATTCAGCCAATCGGTTAGAATACGAAATAAAGAACTGATACGTTGAACTGGCGGCGTGGCAAGAATGAAATCCATATTCATCTCATGAATGCTTAGTTTTGTTAGAATTTCAATCGATAAACGTTGAGCAGAAAGATAAGGAGATTGTATTGGATCCATTGCCTCGTCGGAATAACATGTTGACCAATGTAATAAACCATCGATTAATTGATTGATTAAATCGGAATCAAGCGAATCGAATATTAATACACCGGCTATATTCGTTAATGTGACTAGAGTATTCTCACGAATGTTTATCAAACATTCGGACCAAGAAAACGATGGTAATATTGTTGGATTTTCATTCTAGAAATAGAAAGTGCATTGAAACGAATTTGAATTGAATGTTTGACAGTACCTTTGATTGATAATCGATAAGAGATTGATCATTATCTGACGAAGTAGCAGTTGTCTTAACATTATGCCTGAGTAATAGGAGACGAGCTAACAGATGAATTAATGTTTGATATTTCACTAATTCGATGTCATTGCCAGGTATAAAACTAAGATTTCGTAAGATTGATGAGATACAGATGCAACGGGAAGATGTTTGATCGTAACCGAATGAATATCGAGTGAATATTGCTGAGGCATTTTCCTGCTGATTGTTGACATTCATATGAGCATTGAGATCTGTATTTGTCGACGAGGAATAATCTTCATCGAATTGAAACTTTCGTTTGTAATGTTGAAGAAACTCTTCGTTATAATTCGGAGATATGTCACTTTCCAATGATTTCAACCGTTTTACAGAAGTTTTCGTCGGCTCTTGATCATGTTCTTCGGATGAAATAGTATCATCAGAATGATGACTATGATGAAGATTTTCGTAATAATGATCATCGACATGCATTGGATCGAAATGAGTTTGAATATAACACAAATCATCTGTATTTTGAAGATCGACAACCTAGAAACAGAAGAGAGCTTTGAATGACTTTCGAGTACAACGAATAGCGTACGCTTTCCGGATTGCTTTTCAGATTGCCTTGATCATCGTAAACATGTTCATATTTAATATCATGCGGTCTGCTGTATTTCCGTTGATATTTATTTAAACAATTGGATTCGATTCGATAGATAACTGAAGCTTGCTCTTGATTAGACTCATGTTGGTTTTCTTGTAATTGAGATTCGTGTTCGACTTTGAGTTCATCGAATAACTCAGTTAAACACTTCAAATAATTATCAATGATTGCTTGTAATAAACCCGGCATTTGTTTTAGACGAAAATATGTATGTGTTTGATCGTCAGAGAGCATAATATTAATCGTATCCAATGCCCAAGTCGTTTCAGCGAGTAAACCAGCACGTAGTGACATTAATAGTTTCATAGGATCAATTGGCGCTAGAAGAAAGAAAGCAGAGAGATTAGATTGATGATGTTTTCAACATACGGATATCTTTCGCAGTTAGTTTTCTTCGTTTGAATTTTGTTGAAAGTGTTGTAGCTTCAACAGAATTCGGCGGGAATGCCACAGGCATTGCACGTAACTGAACTTTGTATGATTCATCCGGTTTTTTGGCAAATTGAACAGTCGATGGTATGCAAGCGTATTGAGATTGACTATTGACGCTAGAAAACAAGATGATGAGTTGAATTGGAGAGTTATTCTACTTTACTTTGCCACGGACGCACTGGCCGGTTGATAGTCCGTTTCTGGTTGCTTTGTTGATGGAGTTTCAGTGAATGAATTCATCGATTTCTCGTCCGTCTGTTTTAGCGAACGTTTCTCTTTGGGTTTTTCGATATCTGCTAGAATTGGCTCGGGATCGATGCTTCCTCGATCATATTTACATTCGTAATGGAACAATTTCAATTGAATATATTTTTGTTTCATTGTTAATGCAGCTGTTGAACAATTTGGAATGTGTAATTTCAAGGCAATGTCGCGCCAATGACGATTCTTTGCAGTCTTCGAAAATTGTTCGAAACCATTCTGTTCACGAATTAGTAGATATAAACGATACAAATCGATTGTCTGTCGAGCAAGTGTTGGTAATTTTCGACAAACAACATGATGCTCTTCCCATAGTTTTTGTAAACGATCGACGAACAGATTCCGCTCGGGTTCGTTACCCATTTCACGTAGTTTATTCAAGATTTCGGATTGTGTGATTTGAGAATTTTTCGGCTTTTTCGGAGCCTTCTCGTTGGATACTGATGGACTGTCTGAGAACGAAGAATTACTCGATTCAGCATCGTCGAAAACATTCGAGGAAATATTGGCATAATTTGGAGATTCAGGTACATTGCCTTTGGCTTTCGTTGGATTACTATCATCATCCTGAGAACGGGACTCTGCTGTTCCTGTTGTTGACGATGACGTTTGCATTTGCGAATGAGAATAGTTCGAATCGGATTCAGTGGTATTCGAAGAAACCAATGGGGGCCAAGTTGATTGAGATGCTGTCGGATAATTATTACTTGGTCCATTCGAATAAGCGGGATATGAAGATTGCGTTGGATATGGCTGGACTTTGCCAGATGTCACGTCATTTGAATATGCTGACCGATGTGGTGGCACTGAATAGCGTGCGTTCATCATATTAGAGTTGGCGTATGAATATGGAGATGCATTGCTATTCCCATATGGATCGCCTAAGAAGATAGAAAAGACATTCGATTGGTATGACGGAATTTTTCAAGTCAAACCTTGTTGTTGTTGTTGTCTTAATGATGGATGAGCTGCAGGCATCATCGAAGAATTGTGATAACCGATATTTCCTAGAATAAACAAACATCTTATGGTTATTTTTTAGACAAAAATATAATATTACTCTGAGGCATTTGTGTCATAGGCGTACTCGTATTACCAGTTTGATAATCATTGGAAACCATCATCGAATTCTGAAAATAGATCATCATTGAGAAAGAGATCAAAATTAATCAAGATCATATGTACCGAATCATTCAGTGAATTGCTGTCTTTTGATAAATATACTGGCGACTAAAGAGGCAAATGAATAGCTCATTTTTTACGATCTTCAAAGCATTGTTTATTACCTCAACATGATTTTCACCATAGTAATTAGTTCCTACTGGTCGTTGCTGCTCGTGACTGCTCGCATACGGTGGATAGTAGCCAGTTGAGCGTGATTCGTACGGATCATATGATGGAAACTGAATATTTTCATGAAATCTTTTTTGTTTAGAAAAAAAAAACAATCTTACTATCTGATGTGAAGTTGAAGATGGATATCCTTGATATTGACTCATCGCTGAAGATTGTGGTGGCGGTCTGCTGTAATAATTTGAACTTAACATCTGTTGTGCTCGAGGATTAGGGTTATTATTATGTGAATAAAAGTTATTTGATGACTCGTAGGACATTTTTATATTTTGACAGGAGGCAAATAATACCAAGGATAAAAATGTCTTTCTCAGATCTAAAAGAGAAAAATAATCGTTCTCTAAGTACATGAACATTTCGAATGGATATGAACAGTGCTATTTTAATATACGAGCTAACTGGAAAAGAAAGTAATCAGTATATTGCTGATATCAATTGTTTCTTATAGTCATTGAGTATTTTTTAGTAAGGCACCATTTTGAATGAATGAAGCCTCCGTTGTGGACAAAAAATTTCTAGTGGTGCAATTGTTTTCGAAGGGTAACCATGATTTTTCTTTAAAACGATATTCAACAAGTCTAGAATAAAATTTTAATTTCGTCATTTCTCGGAAAACAGGATTTATTTTTCACTGGTCATCGCTCGACCAATCATATTCATCCGTTTTCGTTTCGAGAGGGAGAATAGATGGATCAGAAAGCGTCTGGAAGGAAAGAAAGATGAAACAGAATTAATTAAGCCACATGATTGCTATTTCTATTTAACAACGGCAATTACAGTGTCTAATTCTGCTTTATTTCCTGGGATGTACAAATGTGATAGTTGACTGTAGGGGTTGAGTTATAGTAGGATAGACATTCGAGACTCTAAGCGCTCGATTCTACAAGCGTGGATCCTCAAAAATTGTATTATAACAGTTCACATTGTTTATACTTTGTATCAAATAAAATTCTGCATTTCTCTTTTCCACGAGAATTTCACAGTGACTTGCCAAGATTGAACTTATGTTGTACATTTTTTAATAGCATAAGCTAAGTTAAGCTACACGGTAAAGAACGTCTATTTTTATATCTTTCATCGCTTTGTCAGTTTTTCTAATTTACAGAGGAGAGAGAGTCCTCGTTATCATCATAATACACGAGTTGACCTTGACGTCGCGCTTAACTATCGTTTAAAATCGATATCAATAACTCCATGCAACCATATTTTACTTTAATCCAACAAATGATCGACGTTTGTCGCTACAAAAACTTAAAAATAAGGTTAATATTAATCTTTGTTCGATTGAAACTTCTAAACACTAACGAATAATGTTGAAATAAGTTTCAATACGAAAAACATCTGTTCGAACGGACAGATCTTCGAAAGTAAGTATTTGCTCTTTAGTAAGATCCATTCGAAGCAGAATTCTCTGACAATTCTATGTATCTACTGAAGAGATTTGATCGTAGAATAAATTGATATTCATCATAGTGATCATATGGCAAATTGGTGATAAACATCAACCAGTGCGTCGATTTTACACTATTCTGAATTTTACCAGACTAAATTCACTCATACTCGTACATAACTTTAAAATTGAATGTTAACCTGTCGATTTGTTTGAAAATATCTTTTGACTATCGAACATGTAAGTACAAAACGAGCGTAATGAAAAAACGTCATTTCCGCCTGTTCTGTTCTTTGGTGACATCTAGTGATTATAAATATATGCTACATTTCTTCTCGTCAAAATATAGAGCCATAGAACTCACGTTTATGTCCTCTTTTTATTCTGTTCTGTTGCGATCCATCTCTTGCTCTTGTAGTGCTTATAGAAAAATTGTTATTGACGTTTAATTTAAAAAACTAAACTATTAGTCCATTTGCTTCTTTTTTTTCTATTTTATATAGTCTATGACAATATTATCTCTTGTGCATTGTCACAAATATGAAACGACGAACGAATTTTGACAGCATAAAAATACGAAAGTCTATTCGA